CAAATAATCCTTTCCGCGCGAGCATCGCTGTGCGAATGGACCCTGGCCATGTCGATATTGCTATGCAATGCGTGTCGGTGCGTTGCTTATTGCATGCGAACAATAAGAGTCGGGCTTTCCCTTTCGCACACACACACACGCGGCTCTCACACACGCACTCTCTCACACACACTCGCAAACAGTGTCACTTGCATGCAAGCCTGGTCCAGGTCGGTATCACCCGAGAGCAAGGGCCGCGACAAGTGCAACAGGACGTTGGGACACGTCGCGAGGGGCTAAAGCCGCGCCCTGCGCCTGCTGCTGGGCGAACTGGGGTAATACGTCGGATCCACTGCTCTGCAAGGAAAGCGGAGCCCGGTCGGGCGGGGCGGGGCGGGGGGTGAGGCAAGCCCGCGGACAGTATTGCTTTCAGGGGTGCTGCTGCTGGTGCTGCTGCTGGTGCTGCTGCTGGTGCTGCTGCTGCTGCAGTAAGTGGCGCTCGGGTGGCGTCAGCTCGGCCGCGGGGCCCAGGAGCGTCCACCGCACTGGCGGAGGCCAGGAAGGAAATGATCCGGCGGCCGCGACTCTGATAAGGCTCTGCTCCTATATGTCGGGGCAGGCCCGGCAGGCCGCCGCCGCCGGGCCGCCGCGCGCGCCGCGGTGCTTTCTCGATACGTCCCTCGATAGTGCTGCTGCTGCTGCCCTCTCACGGGCGGGCCCCTCCCGGCCACGCCCCTCCTGACCACTTCCTCCTTGATCCGCGCGAATCTCATCGTCGTCGGCGTGCTCATGAGCCGGCCCGTCACCCGGGGTGGTGTGCCCGTCGGGCCCCCGGGGCGCTCCCCCCCCCCTCCATGCTCTCCGCACCGCCGCCGCTGTCTTTTCGTGCAGCGTCCTCTCCCCTTTTCTTCAGCCGTCGTAATTCACACCGACGACAGTAGTATCCTCTCTCGCGGCCGAGGGTTTAAAGCCGAGTACACCTTTGGTTGAAAAGGTAGCGGACGGATGACGAATGATGACGCCACACGGCTCCGTTAGTGTTATTTAAGACCAATGATCATTGGGTCTCGGAATCCTTAAATGGCGACGGAGGAGCAGCGACGCGAGCCGGAGAGCCGAAGAAGTGTGTAACACTGACGAAATTAAGTTAATCAAACTTAATGTTGTCATACTGCGCTAGTATGACGTCAGTCGCCTTAATGCGACCGAAAGCCTGACTCGAATGTGCTTTAAGTCGACAGCGCGACCCGTCCGCGCGGGCGAAGCTCTCCCTCCCGCGCCTGCCCCGCCGCCTGCCCAGAGGCCCCGATCAGGCCGAGCGCATCGCGCATTTGTCAAACGCCTCGCGGGGCGCCGGGCGATGCATGCCAATGAATACTTGCAGCAGCAGCAGCAGCAGCAGCAGCAGCAGCAGCGGCCAAGTGTGTCGCAAACATGCCGCAATCACAATTTGTAGTCCAAATCGGCAAAGCGGCGAGGCACAGCTGCCTGCTGAGCGCGCTGAGCAGCGGCGCTCGCCCCGTCCTGCAACTTATTCGCCTCTCTTCACCGATCGCCCCCTCCCCCCCTCCCCTTCGCACAGGGGAGCCTCATTACCACCGGGAGCCCCGGCGGGGTGTCTCCTCCACGTAGAAAAGGGCACTGTGAAAATAAATAGTTTTGTAGGTTTTACAGGAAAATTTTCGCTTGGCGCGTGTCGTAAATAAATAATATACAAAACTGTAAAATTACAAGCACTATTGCATCGACTTGGAATTCAGCGACGAGCAAGCTTGAGGTGCCATCAATTTTCAACATGCTTTCTAAAAAATAATTACAAAACCTGTTGTAAATTTACGACGATATTTTTCGAAGTGCGCGGGGCCGTATTCTCGAAGCACGTCAGTTTTATTTTAAGTGCAGTGTACTTTTTTTAACGGCCCACCAAGTATACGCGGGATGCAAAAAGTTGGCGTCGACTTTATGACGAAGTTACCCCTTTCAGGTAAAACGTCAAGCACTGCCAGGTGAGTGTATCATCCAGGGCCTTTCAACCCCGTTTTCTTTGCAGCAGCTCACAACCCTTCCTCGCGCCGTGTCCATCACTCTGGTACGTAACTTGTAGACGGTCCCTAATTGCGGCGAGGAGGACTATGTGTGCGACGGTGAGCCCCGAGTTGGCGAGAGGTTCGTCCCGAGGAACGTCGCCAACGCACCATTTGTTGCGTGGGGCTTTTAGTATGCAGACTAGGGATTGTACAGCCCAAACATTTCTACTGGAACCTTATGTATTATAGAAAAAAAGATAGGAAAAATTTGAAATATTTCCAGAAAAAATTCCTAGGAAAAAATTTAAGAAATTAAAAAAAAACCTTACGAAAAATTTAAAATACATTTTTGGAAAATTAAAATCCCTTGTGCAGTCGTTAGTCTGCTGCAGAGCTCACGCGTGTCTCCGTTGCAGGCCCTGCTTCTGCTTCGAGTGGGCCGGGGCCGGGACGCGGACGCCGTGGATGCGGGCGACTGTCTTCTGCTTCGGCGCGCGACGACTCCGACACGCTTTTAGGGACCACTCGGTCACCTCCTCTCACGCCTCTCTGTTGCAGGCCCTGCTTGTGCTTCCACTCGTCCGGTGCGCGGGGCCGTGTACGCGGGCGGCCGTCTGCTCCTCGGCGACACACTCGACCAGCCCCTCACGCGCGTCTGTGTTGCAGGCCCAGCCCCCGCCGCCGGGTCCTCTCCTCCCCGAGCTGAGCAGCTTCCTCCTAGTCTTGCACGTGCATGTCGTTTCGTTGGTAGGAGGTCCCTCGGTGCAGGCGAGTCTGACGCGGTCCTCTTCCTGCCCGGCAGGTGCTTGGGCCGGGACCCTGGCGGAGCGCGCGGTGCCCTACTGGAAGGTGGAGGTCGAGGAGCCGGAGGAGCCGAGCGTTGTCGACCAGGGCGACGATCCTCTTGGACGAGAGGCTGCCGACTGGGGGCGGGACCCGGAGGTCCAGGTCGAGCACGGCGATGACCTCGCCGCCGACGCCCAGGGCGATCGGCTGGGGCTCGTGGTCACCGGGAGCTCCTCGCTCCGCGACCACCGCAAGCGCGACGCCGAGGACGCCGTCATGGAGGGCGACGCCGTGCTCCCGGAACACTCTGTGCGCGCCGAGCTGGCGTCGAGTGACGACGACAGTGACGGACATGGTGACGGGGGTCGCAGCGGGGAGCGTGACGAAGGTCCCAGCACCAGTGGCAGTCACCTGCGAGTGCACGGCATGGCGTGGAGGTGGAAGTGTAAATTCTGTAGCAAAACGTTCACCGGCAAGTATAAACTGGAGGAGCACGTGCGTGTTCACACCGGCGAGAGGCCTTTCAAATGCGAGTTCTGCGAACAGTCCTTTATTCAAAGGAGTCACCTTGTTGTTCACACGAGGACGCACACTGGGGAGAAGCCCTTTGAGTGTGACATCTGCAAGCGACGCTTTGCTATCAAAAAAACACTCAGTATTCACATGAAGACTCACCGTTGAGAAGCTACACAATTGTTTTTATAGTGTGTTACTATTGGTGTGTGAAACGTTTTGCCTTTTTGTCTAATCGCAATATAAATATATCCGAACCCAGCACAGTTAAAATCAAATGGCGGGTTCATTTACAAATATGTTAGTTTGCGGCCATGCCAAGGCACTTTTACTACTGACAATTCGTAAAGTCTAATATGTCTGCAAATATTGCTGAGTATTTGTCTTTTGTATTCTTCTTATCTATATCTAATTAGTATTTTTTGTAATTTGCAAATTCTGTACTCTAGTGGACAGGTACAGTAGATATTGAAAGCTTTGTCTATTACTTGTTACATGTAAGTGCCGAAAGACATTCTTCCTTTGGCTTTGCAGCAAAGTTGTGAAACTATTTCCTTACCAGGATATTTTGCTGGATTAGGACAAGTTACTCTTTCCCATTTTAAGGAATATGTAAGCTTCTTGGAATCCTTAACCCAAAGTACCGTTATTATTTATTAATTTATTTTCTATTTCGTCATGTTATTAACTGACCTGTAGTAATAATGTCGCGCACAAGACGCCACAACAACAAATACTCTTTGTATTGCTGTGGACGAGTGCAGTAGATGTACCATCAATTGACAGTGTTGTTTATACACTCTCATTTCCCTATGGATGTGCTATCCGTATGTTATGGAGAATTTTGTGCTAACATATTATGGATCACAAATTATCCATAATATGGATAAAATTGTCCGTATTACAGACAATTTGATCCATATTACAGACATGCCCTCCTCCGTAAGGTATAGACCTTTCGTCCATACCCTACGGATGAAGGTATGTCTGTAATATGGATCAAATTGTCTGTAATACGGACAATTTTATCCATATTATGGATAATTTGTGATCCATAATATGTTAGCACAAAATTCACCGTAAGCGTCTCCATAAGGAAATGAGAGTATAGAAAGTCAGATTTTCATTTGGTTTTATAACATTATTGTGCTGTTTTTTCGATGATTATATTGATAAAAGTCTTATTAAAGTGCAATAAAACACCCCAATTCTTCGGAACAAATTTGCTGTAGGCCAATACTGGTCGATCTGGTTACCTGCACTTCTCCTATGAGGACTGAAATGGGCGTCCGCGGAAGGAGTGTTCGAAACGAAACTTTACTCTCTGCCGCACAACTGAGACGTCTCTCTGTTTGCAGGCCCTGCTCGTCACGACTGGATGCTGGTCCCGAAGATCAAGGCCGAGACGTGCGGTGTCGAGTACGGCGAGGATCCCGACGATGCCTGGGGCGAGCGTCCGGGGCTGTTGAACACCGAGACCTATTCGGTCCCCGGCCGTGGCGGCCGTGGCGGGGAGGGCTCCGAGGACCTCGCCAAGGCCCTCGAGGTCGTCGCCGACGCGGTGCTTCCTGAACAGGAGCGTGGCCAGAGTCCTAGCACCAGTAGCTCTCCGCAGGGAGACTTGCCTAACCACGGCAGTGCGGGGTTCAAGTGTAAATACTGCAGTAAAACGCTGGTTAGGAAATCCACCCTGCAAGATCATCTACGTGTACACACTGGCGAAAAGCCATTTAGATGTAAAACGTGCCAGCAGTGCTTTACCCAAAAGAGTAACCTGACTAGGCACATCAGGACACACACGGGCGAGAAACCATATCAGTGTCCCTTTTGCGAGCACCGTTTTTCCGATCGTACTGCGCACGCCCAGCACATCAGGTTACACCACACTGGGGAAAGACCCTATGAATGCGACATCTGCAAGCAACGCTTTGCCATTAAAAGAAAACTCAGGATTCACATGAAGACTCACAGTTCAGAAGCCACACAAGTGTTGTTATAGTGTGTGTAAATGTGTGTGTTACTATTGGTGTGTGAAACGTATTGTCTATCTAATCGCATAATGAGTATATCTCCAAACTCAGCAAAGTTTAAATCAAACGGCAGATTCATTGGGCCTTTTTTTTTGTAATTTGAATTTTTTTATTGTAGTGGACAGGCACAGTCAGTAGATAATGCAATTTTCGTCCAGTACATGTTACATTTAAGTGCCGAAAGGCATTCTTCTTTGGCAGTGTAGCCGAGTGTCGTAAAGTTGTAAAAAAAAAAAAAAAAATCTCAGAGGGGTATTTTTTTGGATTAGGGTAAGTTAGCCGTAGAAAGTGTTCGTAGTACCATTTTAATTAATACGTAAGCTTAGAGTCTTTAACTCAAAGTACAGTAGTTGTTTTAGCTTTCCTCGTTATTCACTGACCTTTTACGGTAAAGAATACAACCTGGCTGTATATACTTTCCACTTTTGGGAATTTGAGGCGAGAAACCATTTCAGTGTCACATTTGCGAGCAGCGGTTTACAGATCAAAGTACCGCGCCAACCACACGAGGACACACACTGGCGAAAAACCTTATGGGTGTAGCTTCTGCATTGAGCGTTTCACTCATAGGAACACCTTTGTTCGGCACATGGCCTCACATACCGGTGAGAGGCCATTCAATTGTGATCAGTGTGGATCCTGTTTTGCTGAGAAACGTGGCCTCGATAAACACGTCCGAACCCAACACTTTCAAAATCGAATGGTAGATTAATTTACAAATATTTTAGCTTGTGTCCATGACAAGATCATTTTGTGTACTGGTTGTAATATGTAAAAGGTAACGCGTTTGACATTATTTATTTGTAAATAGTGGTCTCTTGTATGTTTTCTAAACTTTAAATTAGTCACCATTGATTGTATTTAAAACTTTTTGTATTCAACCATTTTTTGCTATGTTTAGTGAATAAATTGTATGTCCTTGGCCAAAATAGAAAAGTTGTTGTCCTGTTTATATTTGCTCTGCGCCGTATATCGCAGTACCGCACGTGCATGCCGTGTTGATGGTAGGGCGGTCCCCGGCGAGCTCTAACGCGGTGCTGTTCCTGTCGGCAGGTGCGCGGGCATGGACACCGCCAGGACGAGAGGTGGCCGACGGGGAGCTGGACTCGGAGATGAAGGTCGAGCCGTGTGGAGTCGAGCACGGCGATGATCTACATGGACGAGAGGTGGCCGACGGGAAGCTGGACTCGGAGATGAAGGTCGAGCCGTGTGGAGTCGAGCACGGCGATGATCCGCCAGAACAAGAGGTGGCGGACTGGAGCGGCCCAGAGATGACGGCCGAGCCGGGCGGTGTCGAGCACAGCCACGATCCCGACTGTGTCCAGGACGAGCAGCTGGGGCTGGTGGTTGCCGGGACGCACTCGACCCGCGACTGTCGTGCGGAGGACTTCGGGGACCTCGCCAAGGCCGTGAAGCTGGAGATTTTTGATGACGCAGTGCACCCTCCACAATCTCCGCGCGCCGGATTAGCATCAAACGACAGCGACAGTGACGTGCTTGGAGATGATGTCGAGGAGGTGCGCCAACACGGTCGCGTTCGGAGCGATGTGACTCACAGCGGCGAGTGTGATAAGACTCCTACCGGGGAAGTTGAAGTTGAAGCTTATAGCCCTCTTAAGAGAGACTTGCCTAAAGAAGTCGGTGTGGGGTATAAATGTAAATACTGTAGCAAAACGTTCATGAAGACATCTACACTGGAAAGACATCTGCGTGTACACTCACGCGAGAAGCCATTTAAATGTGAAACGTGTGAGCAGTTCTTTACTCAAAAATCAACCTTGACTCGGCACATCAGGACACATACTGGCGAGAAACCTTATTTGTGTAACTTCTGCAATCGGCGTTTTGCTGCAAAATACCATCTTGTTGTACATATCAGGACACACACTGGTGAAAAACCTTATTTGTGCGACTTCTGCAAGCAACGTTTTGCTGATAAAAGTACCCTTGTCTATCACATCAGGATACATACTGGTGAAAAACCTTATCAATGTGACTTCTGCAACCAGCGTTTTGCTGCAAAAAAAGTTCTTGTTAAACACATCAGGACACATACTGGTGAGAAACCTTTTCAATGTGACTTCTGCAATCAGCGTTTTGCTGTAAAACAGAATCTCGTTGCACACACCAGGACACATACTGGTGAGAAGCCATACAAGTGTGATCAGTGCGAAGAATGTTTTGCTCGGGCAGGTCATCGCATGAGACACATCCAAAGACATCACACATAAAATTACGTAGTAGATTATTTTACTAAAGGGTTAAGTACTGTATCCCAAGTTAATTTTGATGGTGTTAATTTGGGAAAGGGAACATGTGTAGCAATACTTCTGAAAAGTTGTCTTTTGTTTTTTCTGATTTTTATTTTGTCACTACTAATTGTATTTCAAACCATTTGCTTTTAACCTTTCTTTTTTTTGCTATGTTCACGTTCTTATGAATAAAGTGCACGTCCGTGGAAAAAAAACACATCGAGCAAGTTGTTGCGCTTTTTATAAATTAGCTTATCGCCATATTTTCCTCTGGGCCCCGACTTCACCTATTGTCAAGACCAGAACAGATGTTTAGCGGCGCCTAGAGGTGTTCGAAACGTTATGTACTTTCCTCCCTGCCACACACCTCACCCGTCTCTATGTTACAGGCCCTGGTCGTGCTTCCAGTCCTCCGCCCTCTGATGCCGTCGTGGACGCTGGCGTCGGTCTTCTCTTTTGGCGCGCACCTCCGGCCTCCGACACTCTTTACCAGCTCCTGCAGGACCAGCCCTCGTCGGGCCCTCCCAGGGCTGACAATGAGCAGCGGCGCCCCCGTCCTGCTCGTGCATGCCGTGTCGGTGGTGGTTGGGGTGGTCCCCGGTGCAGGCGGTCTGGGCGAGCTCTAACGCGGTGCTGTTCCTGTCGGCAGGTGCGCGGCCCAGGATACCGCCAGGACGAGAAGCGGGCGACTGGAGGGACACGGAGATCAAGGCCGAGGCGAGCAGCGGTGACGAGGACGACCATCGAGGTGGTCAAGCCGTTCGTCAACTTGCACGTGACGCCGAACCCGTATCTCGTGTCCAAGTTCTTACACAGCCTGCACAACAAGCACGACCACTTCCACATGATACCGAGGGTGCCCAGGACGAGGTGCCGCGTTCGCCGCTGGTCACCGGGAGTTACTCGCTCCGCAGCCGACGACGCGAGGAGGACACTAAGGACCTAGCCAAGGCACTGGAGCTGGAGATTTTCGATGATGACGCAGTGCACCCTCCACACTCTCCGCGCGACGAATTGGCATCCGACGACGGCGATAGTGACGTGCTTGGAGACGATGCTGAGGAGGCGCCCCATGATGTGACACACAGCGGCGAGTGCGATGAGACCCCTCCCACCAACAGCCCTCTAAAGAGAGACTTGCCAGATGAAGCCGGTGTGGGTTTTAAATGTAACTCCTGCAGCAAAACGTTCATTTGCGAATCTAAACTGAAGACACATCTGCGTGTACACTCACGCAAGAAGCCATTTAAATGTGAAACGTGTCAACGGTGCTTTCGTCAAAAATCACACTTCAATGGGCACATCAGGACACATACTGGCGAGAAACCTTATTTGTGTAACATCTGCAACCAGCGTTTTGCTGATAAAAGCACCCTTGTCCATCACACCAGGACACATTCTGGTGAGAAACCGTATTTGTGTAACTTCTGCAACCAACATTTTGCTAAAAAATTTAACCTTGTCCAGCACATCAGGACACACACTGGTGAGAAACCTTATCAATGTGACTTCTGCCACCAGCGTTTTGCCGCAAAATTTTCTCTTGTTGTACACATCAGGACACATACCGGCGAGAAACCTTATCAATGTGACTTCTGCAACAAGCGTTTTGCTGTAAAAAGCGATCTTGTTTTACACACCAGGACACATACTGGGGAGAAACCTTATCAATGTGACTTCTGCAACAAGCGTTTTGCTACAAAAGAGGTTCTTGTTGCTCACGTCAGGACACATACTGGTGAGAAACCTTATCAATGTGACTTCTGCAACAAGCGTTTTGCTGCAAAAAAAGTTCTTGTTGTACACATCAGGACACATACTGGTGAGAAACCTTTTCAATGTGACTTCTGCAACAAGCGTTTTGCTAGTAAAAATACCCTTGTGCAGCACATAAGGACACATACTGGTGAGAAGCCATACAAGTGTGATCAGTGTGAAGAATGTTTTTCTCAGACAGCTAATCGCACGAGCCACATCCGAACCCATCACACATAAAATTAAGAAGTAGTAGATTAATTTAAAAAAGGATTAGGTTCTGTATTCCAATATGATTTTGGTGGTGGTAATTTGGGAAAGTTAACGTGTGCTCATACTTCTGAAAAGTTGTCTTTTGTATCTTTCTGATTTTCATTTTGTGCCTGGTGATTGTATTTATAGCTATTTGCTTTCTTCAACCTTTTCTTCCTATGTTCATGTTCTTTTGAATAAAATACACGTTCCTCTATGCAAGATATTTTTTAGGTTCAAATCTATTATTTGAGTATCGAGTATTATTCAAATTCCTCACCTTCTCTCGTAGCGAGTTCTTTTCACACCCACACTGACAACTCAAGTGTACGATTGTCGCACACCTGTAGGTGAGTGAAAAAATCTCGCGCTTGCAGATGTGCGACAAAAGTTTCACACACACTTGTAGGTGAGTTAATAGAGATGCGTACATTTGGATAGGAAGTCATTTCCTCGCCCCAAGTGTGTGAATGGTCGTTCACACATACAGGTGTCTTCATATTTTCCACTCACCCGCAGTTTGTGCGACATTCGTACACTTTCCTCTGAGGCTGTGGAGCCTGCGCACCGCCGCCGGGGTGAGGTCAACCGCCCGCTGTCTGCACCCCGATCACCCCTCGGAGCGGAGGGGACACAACCCTCCCGACCCTCGGGCCCTCGGTCGCCCTCTCTACGCCACAACAATAGCGTACTTGGCCCACTGGGGGGACTGT